ACCCAACCCAATTTTTGTACTCTGAGTGGACAATAGTAGGTTTACAGCCATGAGTAGGTGAAACACAGAGTATTTCTAGTTATTAATTATCATGTTATTTTCTATGTAAAAAGCTATAAAGCTACTTTTGCGCAAACCTGTATAGCTTCTTGAATTTTCAGTCTTTTAAAATGTGATTCTCTATACCTGGAATAGGTATGGGGGCTCTCCCACCCCTACCACATTGCATATTGATTTCTTACCTTTTCATATAGCTGCTTAAATGTACCACTTTAAGAAAGAGTTCCAAGGTCTAACTCCTCTCAAACGTTTTCACATTTAACTTGGGGCTTTGTGTGATTATTTGATTGTCTGTCTAACCCACTGGACTGTAAGTGCCTCAAGGGCAGAGACTGTGTCTATCTTGTTCATCATCATATCTCCAAAGTGAAACACAGCACTAGCCTATGGAAGGCACTCCATAAAATTGTATTTATTAAATGAACAAATAAATGAACTGCAATTTTCTATGTACTATAGCTCCAGAGAATTGGCTGGTGGGGCAGGAGAAAGATGACTCTGGAGGAAAGCATATCATAGTTCCCAGCCCAAATCCCAGTTCCTAGCATGGTTTCACTTCCACCACTCCACCCTGTGCTTTGTTGGAAATTCAGCCAGACAATGAGCAGGGACACAGCACAGTAAAGGAGCCAAGATGTGCATCGCTGATGACTGAACCATCCCTGCTATCCTTCTTGGTCTCGGTGTATTCTTCTCACTAGCAGTGGATTTCACTTGTTTATATTTTATTTAGGGATTTTTACTGCCTATGTAAAATACTTAATTCCTTAAAGTCCTCTATTGTTTTTTTTTTTAAACTCCTGCTTGAAGGACACAGTGATGGCTTCCAGAAGATCAGACAAAGCAGTCTTCCCAACTGAAACCATCAGACTGTCTTAAACCACTAAGAGCCCTTACCTCTGAGGAGAGAGAGGCTGGGGAGGAGGTCAAAGGAGCATTTAGCCTCATCTGTAAGTTTTCATTATTTTAAAGAATAATGTATTTCTGTTATATAATTTTAAGTAATATTAAAATATAAAATATAAGTCCTTTGCTTCATTAAATGGCAATAAAAATTTAAACTCAAATCCTTAAAAACTATGATGTCCTAGCATATATATAAAATATGCATATATAATATATATATTGCATATGTATATCTGCCATATGTATACATATATACATTTATTTAAATGTAAAAATAAGCAGTTGCCCTGATAGTACCAATCACATAATTGACTTTACTGAACTTTTCATCACTGGATTGGTTTTGCTGACTAGTTTAACTTTTTTAGTTGTTTTGATTTCTTTACTGAGCAAGTGTGATTTCAGTAACATCAATTTGGTTTTCAATATTCTATTTGGTGTTTCTGCATCTCCAAATTATACTCTAACTATACAGCCCTCTGTAAATTTATGTAAAAATAGGTACCACCAAGTCCTTCACAATGACCATTTTAGGGTCTGTGCAAAGTCCTCCACTGCGTGCAGCCCACCTGTGACTCTCCCTGTAGTTGTCCTGTTGCATCTCAATCTGAGCATTAGAGAGTTCCAGGCTTCTTTATTTTTCATAAATAGAATTAAACTACATCATCACACTGCTGTGTACACATGGAGGAATGTGGATTGTACCCTGGTTACATCTGATTGATTTTCTGAAACCATATACAATATTTTTAAAGTTATTTTATAGGTCTTTGTTCTCCTGAATGATTTTTTATTGTTTCTCATTTTCAATTAAACTATATACTAGAGCAGCAAAGTAAAACTACTTAATATTATCTGTCTTTATTGGTGCATTCTTACATTTCAGGGGCTGGTTTACCTCAGGCTCAGTGTGGCTAGCAATAATATAATTTATGGGGTGAATATAATAAACCTATGTTCCAGGTCTAAATGAGGGCTCCACCTCCACCATTATCCTTACTAAGTTGCTTTGTAAAATAATCATCTGAAGATATTATAGTATTGTTAGAGTCTTGCCCTCTTTCATCTTCTCAAGCTAAAGCCTCTTTATTCTTACAGGGTTTATATAACCACAACAGCAGGGCACAGCACTGCCAGGCACACAGGACCACATCCTGTTCGACAATAACTGGCCAGAGCACAACAGTGGCTCCCTCTATTAGACTGGGCACACATCAGTGGTAATTCCTATGCTGCTGGAAACAGTCCAAGGGCCAGAGATAGAAGAGTGGACACCAGTGGGGTAGATTTGGGTGCCACAATGAGCAGCAACTTCACTTCCTCCTTTGGGCTTCAGGTCAGCCCTGTGGAAAACATCCCTGTTTTCAGAGCAAAACAGAAATTATAACCTAAAGCCAGACCCCACCTCAGCTATTTACAGTGTGAACTCAGGACTCAAAGTGCCAGGTGAGATGTTTATGACAACACTCTCCAGAGACACAAATGGAAATTACTAAAATTATAGGTGACTCGGCTATTTAGGAGCAGTTACACACACTTCTAAATCTGCATGACGCTTTGGTAGGTGGCAGCCTTTGACATTCCAGCAGCCCTTCATAAAGCCACATAATATTAAAGATAGTTTGGGGTGAATATATACAGCCCAATCACATGTTGGTATTTGCGGTCTTGTGAATCTGAGATGGGACTACACTCTGTGAGTCCTGGCTGCTCATAGACTTCAGCATTAGAATATTTGCCCTCACCAAGTAGCTGCAGCATTTTAAACTAGAAACCAAATGTTTACTTGTGGAATTTAGCCTTGCCCACAGTTGACCAAAATAACAAGAGAACTGGCCTTTTGTCTATGTTTGAACTGCATCTTCCTCCCATTACATTCTAGTGACGCTGGGAACATATGTTTAAGTAAAAGGACTCCATCAACATATGTTTCTCAAAAAAGTAACACAATTATAATTCATGGAAAAAATTCAAAAGTTCACAAGATTTTTCCCTGGAATGTATAACAAAGAGACATGTGGCATTTATGTTTATTCTCACTATTGTCTAAAACTGTGAACCATCAAGACTCAATTGCTTTAATTGCCAAGTGTTTCAGTGGCACTTACATGTCCTTGTTTCCATTAGGAGCAAAGGGAGAGTGACAAACCTACAATTTTATTTCTAAAATGATATACTGAGACGGCAAAAAGAGCCCTGGGAGAAGCTTACCATGTTCATGTCAATTCTACTAGCATTTTGAGGTGTTTTGTGAAGTTGACTATCCGAGGCCTGAGAAAACTTTTAAGAACCAGAGAGGGGGAGAAACAGGGTTTGGGGTGAATGGGCAGAGATTAGGGCGAAGAGCAAGGAGAACACAGGCATGCTGAGAGATGGTTGTGGCATGGAGGGGGCATGCAAAGAGTGAGAATTATGAGGAGAAAAGGAGACAAACCCTTTCACTCTGGTAACCTCATCTGCCCATTTCAGAGCTTCTAGAATGAAGGCTTCAAAGCTAACATGCTATCTGCATCATATGAAATTGAATTCCAGTGAGTTAAATGTAAGTTAAGAAATCATTAAAAGAATTAGAAGAAATTATAAGTAAATAATCTTGGGAAGAGGAAAAGTTTTCCTGGTGTAACTCCAAGGGCATAAACTGTAAAAGAAATGCTTATATATGTTATCCCCCACATTAAAAACAATAAACAAATTGTAAAGGCAAGTAGCATGTAAAGAATATGTTCAGTATATATGATGAAAATGTCACACGACTGCAATACAAAAAATAAAAATAAATTTTAAAAAGATAGATACTAGAGGAAACAAGCAAATAACCAGGAGAAGCAATTGGCAAAAGAAATTCAAGAGCCTAGCGAACAATGTTCTACAACACTAGCTCCCAAAGAATGTGTTAAAGCACTAAGACCATTTTTATACTTTGAAATGGTAAGGAGAGGCAGCAAAGGTTATCAGAAATGCAGGCAGACAGGCTTCCAGAAGTGCAGAGTAGCAAGAACTTGGGGAGGACAATTTGATGACACATTGTAGAAACCTTTGAAAAAATGTGTGCAACTTATTATCCAGTGATTCCATGTCTATGACCTTATCTTAAGAAAATATTAAAGATGTTTGCAAATATTTAGCTAACAAGAAAAAATTATGGCTCCGTTGTTTATCATAGAGCAAGACACAATATAAATATCAAGTAATGGGAAAATAATTATAGAACATTCTAGAACCTCAACACAATGAAATATTAAAAAGCAATTAAAATAAAGATGTGAAAATATGTTTAAATACACAGAAAGAGTGCACATTAACAGGAATGAAAAGCACAAATGTGTTGAGGCTGACAAATAAGTGCTTTATGAGTGCTGGTTATTTTATTAACAAAGATTTCATTTTTGACAGTAAAATATGCACATAAACACAGAAATAAAATTTGTGCATATCAAAATATTTAGTTAGGTTAACAAATCTGGAAGATATTTTCTTCTTTTGCTTGTCTTTATTTTTGAAATTTCTACCTAAATAAGTGTTATTTACTCTTTTTAGAGATAAAAAGGAAAGGTTTTTAAAAATCATGTGGTGTATTAACAAGTAATGCAGTGGAAGCTCATTTATAATATTTAAATAGGAAAAATAAGAATACAAATCAGCAGTGTGATCCCAAATGTGTTACTATATACTTAGATTTAAATATTATATATTACACATACTTGTAAACAAATATAAATATTACCATTACAAATATATGTAAATAACTGTTATATACATATATACTCAGTTGTAGAAAAAATATTGAAAGCATACACAATAAAATATTGAAAACATCAATGATTATTTTTGGGGTGTTGTGATGAGTGCTTTTCAGGAGTTCTGTGTCTATATATTTTCTCTATTTTCCAAAATACATGTCATGCAAATGTTTTTTTGTTTGTAAAAATGAAAAAGTTATTTAAACAAAACAATCCTGAGATACTGTACAGCTTCCTAGGATTTAAGCTGTCTCATTTTCTAGCCCATCTGGGGTCAAGGCCTCCATGTCCGGCTGGACCCCTCAGCTCTCCCTTCACCTGTAAAAGTCACCATGCCCTATAACTTTATTACTAGGTTTTCCTTTCTCCTTCCTTTGTTTCCACTGTCATTTGCCCAGTTCAGATATTCACTGCCCACTTATAAGGCGCCACATCTGCTGTTTCTCCTCCTGTGTGTCCTGCTTCATGAATCAGTCCAACAGCTCCAAATGTACTCCATGTTTCTCCACCTTTGTTCTTGCTTGAGCTACCCCAATTACCACATACCCAGGGTGCTTTGTCCTCTCTCCAGACCTCCCTTGAGGAACACATCCAAGTCTTACATTTGTGATTCCTGCTTCTACTGCCCCAGAGAAAGTACATCTCTCCTCTCTAGCCCATTCATGTTTCATCAAGAATAAAAAGGATAATACAAATAAGTATTTTTACCTACTCTATAAAATTGATTATATTTCTTTACATCCTATTCATAGCCCAGAAGCATAGTAAACAAAAGAAAATTAAGGTCTGGATGTATACCAAAGGCTTTCCAAGATACGAGGCTGGTACGTTTCGATCGATATAATCCTTTAATAAGTGGACATATCAGCACTCAGCGGAAATGCTACAGCAGGGCTCTGTTTCCACCGTTCCTGGAGAGTAAGGAGGTTCTCCTGGCAGGGCCCCTAACAGTAGCCCACTAGCCGGAGGGTGTTGGGGAAGCTCTTGCGCATTCCCATGCATTTTTCCTGGTCAATGTACAGAGAGTTGGCTTTGACAGCCAGGTCGTGCTCTAGGGTGGCTTTGGTGTGAACCAGGGACTGCAGGGTGTCCTCAGCCTCCCTCAGGCGCTGCTGCAGGGTCTGGATAGTGTCATCCACCTCATATACCTCATTAACAAGGCTGTGGGACCAAAGAGACACCAGTCAGGTTAGTAGAGGTCACATTCCCAACAACGGTTATTCACTGAACTAAGGACACATCTCTTTGGGAGCACCTGGCCCACTTGTATTTATGAGCTGCATGTCCTGGAAGCTAGGAAGGAGCCTCTGTGGCCAGACTGAAGAAGTAGTCCTGTCTCCTACCTCACCCTCCATCCCCCAAGCTGCCTGTGAGTGAAGGGCAGAAGCAGAAACCCAGCAAGCTGGACTCAGCAAAATGGATGCCTCTCAGTATGACCATCTCATTTCTATTTGCAATCCCCAATGGGTAGGGATGCCAGGTAACAAACAGGAGGCCCAATTAAATTTGAATTTCAGATAAATGTGTAATTTTTTAGTGTAAATATTTTTAAAATTCTGGTAAAATAGCAAAATATTTACCATCTGAATCACTTTTAAATGTCAACTGGCATTACCTGCATTCATATGGTGCAACCATCACCATCATCCACTCACAGAACTCCATCTTGCAGAGTGATGTTCCCATTGAATACTGCCTCCCAATCACCCTCCCCCAGCCCCTGGCACCCACCTTTCTACTCTGTCTCTTTGGGTCCAACCACTCTAGGGGCCTCATATAAGTGCCATCAGGCAGTATTTGGCCTTTTGTGACTGACTTATTTCACTCAGCACAATGTCTTCAAGGTTCATTCATGCTGTAAACATGTGTCAGAATTTCCATGTATGAGTATTTTTCTCAGTATGAGTATTTTTAGTTTGAATATTGCATGCCATATGTAGGATATATATACTGAAAAACCATTCATTATTTATTTGAAATTCACATTCAACTGGTTGTGCTGTGTTTTAATTTGCAAAACCTGGCAACCCTGCCCCAGGGGCCAGTACAGTGTTGAGCCCCAAAGGGCTCTCACAGAGTATTCACATGGCACCAAAGCAGCCATTCCTTTCCTCAAGACCCTTCCTGCTCTCATTTTCTTGAGGACATATTGTAATCCTACTTAAACAGATGCCCCAATCAACAGCTATTGTGGGGGCTGGAGCCATGAGAGGGTGGAGAGGGTGGGAAAAGGACTGTCATTTTGTATTTCATGTAGATCTGTACTATTTGAACTTATTTCAAAATCAGAATGTATTCCTATCTTGAGAAATTCAACAAAAACAAGCTTTTAGACAAAAATGTAAGCAAGGCGAAAGGTTTAACATAGAACTAAAAATGAATAATTTCTTCCTAGTGTTATCTTGTAGTGAGTTGGAGCATGGCAGAAGGACAGGGAACAACATTAATGTCTAATGATAATGGACGCTACTGGCAGATGATGAAATACTATGCAAGCAATGCTTTTAAAAAAACTTGCACTGGCCATCAGAAAGAAACTTGCAATATAATGTTGGTTGAAAAAATCAGGATATTAAATCCCATATGCAGAAAGACCACAATTTTGTTAATGTGCCTGGTGGCAAATACAACTTTCTAATATTGGTTATGCCTCAATGCCACAAAGCATTCAGGGTGGTTTTGATCGTAGTTCATTTTCTGATTTTTCTATCATGAGCTGATACTACTCTTAATGGCAGGAAAAAAACAATAAATATATTACTAGAAAGAAACATAATTTTGAGAGACTTAAACTCTCTGACTTTTAGAGAGGTTTCTGAAGTGACTCAACGTACCAGCACAACAGCTGGGAGACATCACATTGCACTTGACAGCACAGCAGGCAAATGCTGAATGGTTCACAGACTCCCTAGGATGGCCCGGCCCACCCACCTTCTGGGCACACCCTTTCTGTTGGATGTGCTGATGTGTGGCTGGCCCATGCCTGGATATGGAGCAGATGGGCCAGCAGCACCCCAGGCCACCTATGTGTCCCATCTCCAGCAATGGTAATGTCATCCTCATGGATGCTGAAATCAAACCCTCTGATCAACTCGGCCCCATGCTCTTCATCGCAGCCCCAGCTCTGTCATAAAGTCCTGTTATTCCTGCCTCCCAAAGAGCCTTACTGTGTGCCATTTGTCCTGTGCCTGAGTCTGCAGGCACCTCCTAGAATGTGCTTGTTCTGTCCCTGACTTCAGAGCCTTCACCCTTCCTACCCCCTCAGCCCAACACTTTACCTACCATCCATCTGCCTGCCATCTGCTAACTCATGCCATGCTCGAAGCTCAGAGGAGCAGACATTTCTCCCTCAACCCTGGAACTAGGGAGCAGCCCCAAGTCCCTGATGTCATGTGTCCCAACAGAACCAGCCCTGCCACAGCCCTCGGGGTGCTTGTCATGCCTGTTTCCTACATTTGCCCTGTGGGTCATCAGCTCCCTGAACGCACCAGTGCCCTGACCCAGCCTCACCTGAGACTAAATCCAGCAGCCCCTCCTGCAGTGGACAGGAGTGTCATGCACTTGTTGAATGAGGACCAACTTCAATATCCTAGGTTAGGGAGGTCATGGTGAGAGGTAGGAAGCTACCCCAAGGTCCAAGTCCACAGGGTTTTTCAAGAACAAGAACCAGACCCCAAGCCATGGAAACTGTGCCAGTCTGAGCCTGGAGGCTCAGCTTCCAACCTACCTGCTGGCAGCCTGAGAAGGGGAAGGATGCTGCAAAACCCTGCACCCCCCACCCCAAGCTCACAGAAGCATCTTCTTCCACCTTAGAACCTGTGCCTGTTCTCTCACTTTCCATGAGGGAGGAAAAGGAAGGCAAACCTAGGCGCCAAGTTTCTTTTGGTCTGGCACTGGTAAACACAAAGTCTGAGAACTCATATGAAGCATATTTTGTTGCTGTTTAGATCAAATTGGATTCAAAATAAATCTTTTTTTTTATGATCCCAGGGTATAAAACTCCACTAGAAAAGAAATAGATCTTCAGGGAGAATCTGCCCATGACCAGCAATGGCACCTACAACTGCTGCTGACAGTCATGCTGGGCCTGACCCTGCTCAACCACCACTCCCTATGTCCCTTCCATGGCCTCAAAAGGAACCTGAACCCACAGGTAGGAAAAGAAGTGGGAAGATATGTGAGTCTTCACTCCTTGCAGCCATGTAACAGTCTAGTGGACGATTTACCTGAGGGAATTTTTGAAAATACACAGATTAAAATATCAGTTTTCTTTAAGAAGGAATTCAAGACCTATAGAGCACAGGCAGCTGACATCCTCGTTTCCCATAGCTGTGTGAACACAGCTAGTTCAGCTAGTTGCTACTGCACTCCCCTCGACTTTCACCATCAGAAAGTTTTCCCTCATCTTTCAAGGCCTTATTTCTCTCTTGGTTTTCTTGTTCTTGGCAGATCACAGGGAGCTGTTCTGCTAAAATCACTCATTTTGGGTGAATTACAGAACTGAAAAACATTTTGCATTCAAATACAAATAAAGCTACCATAGTTTTAAATATATATATCAAGATTATTTAAGTAACCTAGAGCCCAGTCTGGCCTGCCACCAAAGCTGCCAAGAATGTTTAGAATTACTTTAGAAAGAACCCATTTAGGAAATTTTAAATGAAAATAAAATTTTGAAATAAAAACCGCAATTTTTCTCAGTCCCCCCTCCTTGAGTTTTTAGCTTATTTTTTCTTAATCTAGCAGGCCAAAGGGCTGCTTTCAGAATGAGCAGTTGAAGAGAAAAAATACTCCCCTCCTCCAATAATAATCCTAAATTCTGCTGTTGTTACTCTGGGACTATATTTTTGGCTACACTATTTTAACAAGAAATCTTTACAGAAACAGAAGTAGGTTTTGTCCTAAAGTCAATGAAGGAGCAGAGGAAATAGACACACTACAAAGTTGACAGAAAGTAAAGGAAAAGCAACTTGTGTTTAGCTTCAAGGGAGAAAAAAAAGAGTAAAAATCATTCAGCTTTGCAGAAGCTGCTGTGAATGCCTCAGTGTTTCATAATTCCAAAGTCAAATTAGACTACTACTCCAAACCCTTTACAGAGCAACACTGGGTTTGTCTAACGGCAGTCTGACCCCCTACCTCTACTTATGAAGACTCTGGAAAAATTTTCAGCAGTGTATGAAACTTCAGTTCAGCTTCCTCTAACCCTGTTTGCAGAAAGCCACCATTGATGATCCAATCCTGATTGGCCAAAGGAGCATGCATTCCTACTGGGTTCTTTTGAAGCACACAGACACTCTGGACTGGCCACCAAGGGCCCCAGTGTAGGGCAGCTTATCCTCAATGAAGGGCTCTGTGGGAGGGGTTCCAGGGAACTCACTTTGAGAAACATAGAGGTGGCCGAACTCCTATATGGCTGTGGCCTAAGACGATATCTCCTCTGAGAGAAGCATGCTTCTTAGCGCCTGACACAGACACCAAACACACTGTATGTATGGTATGCTTTGCAGTAACAATCTCCTCTGTGACCTCAGTTTCATCCTTTGTGAGAGAGCTGAGGACACAGTACGTGCTTTGCGCACTCACCTCATATGGACATCATGATCAGATGAGAGCAGAAATGTGATAGGGAATGGTGAAAACACCACATTGTGAGGATTGGGGAAGCAGAAGCCAATGGTTGAGTTGGTGGGAGAACACTCTGCAGGAAGCTGGGCAGGGACTCAGGAGTGGCTCTCCTCCTCACCACCAAGCACCACGTGGCCCAAGTCATTCAAGCCACTCCTGCCTCAGTTTCCTTATTTGTAAATGAAGATAAACAATGAAGTGAGGTGCTCAGGACAGTGGCGAGCACAGAATGAGCTTAATAGGTGGTGGCAGCAGTCATATTTACCTCCGGTACTATCTTTATTATTATTTTCATCCTTGTTGGCCCCACAAAGATCACCCTTTCTTCTCTCTTCAGGAAATCCACACTTGATTCTTTGGTGGAGCTCAAACTCACTTCACCACTTGGATAAAGTCTGCATGCCAAGGGAATTCTATCGCAGGGCCAGGTAGCAAGACAAGTGCCTTCCACCCCCAGAACCAAGCCTGGTTTCCAGGGCTGCCCCTGTTCCTCCAGTGGCCTTGCCTCTGCGAAGCAGCACTAATGACCCAGTAATGGCCATGATGAAGGCCAGAGAAGAAAGGCAGAAGAGGACCCTGGGAAATGAGAAAGGAACCCAGAATTGTGAGGGGGGAAATGGGGGAACCTTGCCCAATTACTCACAAGGCCATCCTAAAAGGACTCTGCACAGTTAAAGTAATAATAAAATACATGCAGTGTTGAGTAGAGAGACCAGGTGTCAGACTCCACCTGCTGTGTGTGTGCGGGAAACGAGCTTGATGAAGACCAGTTGTTCTCAATTTCTGCTGAGAACAGAACATACTGAAATGACCCTAAAGAACCATTACGGGTTTTAGGGGGGCATGAAGATGGTTTTAATGACAGGACAGATATATTAACTGCCATAAAAAGAGGCCAATGAGAGCAATACATGAGAGCAGACAGGGGTCGGTGGAATTGTAACTCAAGTCTCTTTCCTGACAAGTCTCTGGCACTGAGAAGTACACAGCAGGCCAACACACTCAGCCACTTATAAGAAAGGTGTACTGGAAACTACAGAAGCCTCCAGTGAAGGGTGGAGGAAACCAAAATCCACCTTGGGTCCCTGAATGAGCCTAATGTTTATCACTTGTTTGTGTGTAATGTTGATGTTATTTCTTTTTTAAAAATTATGGCAGACTATACATAAGAAAAATTACTGTCTCAATTATTTTTAAGTGTATACTTCAGTGGCATTAGGTGCATTTGTAATGTTGTGTATTCACCACCATCATCCATCTCAAGAACTGTTTATCATTGTAAACCAACTCCATGGCCGTTAGGCACTAACCCTCCATTATCAATACTTATAAAGAATGCCCCTATAGGAGGAATACTACTATGCACTTCCTTATCACTGGTATGTTGGCAGAGAGCTCTTTCCTGGAGAATATGAAGCCAGGCAGGCTGGTGGACTGTCCCCTCCTGCCCAGGGTGAGCCCTCTCCTCACCGTAACTGGGCCATGTCCCTGCAGAGCTCTAGGTTCGGTCTCCTGGTCCGTTCATCCAATCTGGTCTGAGCCACCTTCAGGAAGGCAGTCTTGTCCCTGATGGCCTTCTTGATGGCTTCTATGGTCATTTCAGTCTGGAAAATCTCCTGCAATGTCTGCATGGAGAGAAGCAGATGCCTGAGGCTTTGGTGCTCTGCCACTTCCCACCTGCTCCCTTCCTCCTGCCTTCTCTGGTGGGGAGGTGAACTCACTGAGCACACCTACTGCTTCACATCCCCACCCCTCCCCCATACCATCCCCAGGGAGTCTCACTGCCCAGGAGAGCAGACTGCATGCACCTTCCAACTCCCAATTCAGGTAAAATCAGCTAGGGTGGGAGGGACTTACATGACAGATTGGCAGATGCTACAACTTCAGAGATCCCCCCCCCCCAGATCACCTGTTGTTAAATATTTGCCAGCACTCGGCTGTGTATCTCTTGGAAACATGAGGCCCTAAGGTTGGAGTGCACTAACCCCTTATCTTCTGTTCTCCCTTCTCACTATCCTCACAGAGAGGGTTTCCTGCCTGTGGAGAATTTGCTTTGAAGCAAATCAAGGTCAAGTTTTCAGGAGTCTCACTTGAGAGGGAGGACCCCTGGCAGTGTGCAGTCCTGCTTTTATGTTTTTCTTTAAGAGGCTCCCTCAAACTGCATGAACCTGGGCCTTTCTCTGATTTCTCCTCTGGGAGGTGAACCCCTCCTCTATGCTCTGAAAACCCTTCCTTCTCCTGCAACCTTGACCCCTGCCCTCCCATTTCTCCACCCTGCTCCATAACTCTCCCTCTCCTCCTGCCCCTTTCCTACGGCCTGGAGACACACTCAAGTGTCACCCAATTCCTTTAAAACTTTACGTGTTTATACCACTCACTTACCCAACCCCACCTGGGTGCTTCCAGTTGGTGCTCTTTCCTCACAATCATGGCCAAATAGGCTCAGCAGTGGCCTTGCTCACACCCTGCATCTCCTGGTGGCCTTTGTAGTAGGCCTCTGGCCCCAGTTTTCTTCATGAGACTACTCTCAAAGCCAATGATGAGGCCTCTATGATGTCCCCCCTCTCTGAATCACTCACCTTGCTGAATTTCTCTGGCCAATTGCTATCCTAATTACTTACCTTTCTAACTATTGCTCCTCACTTCCAGTGCAGGGTATTGTCCCCAAACCACTCCTCTGTTCCATCCCTTATCCCTGCAGAGATCTCACAATGGTACAGATTTGGCACTTGTGTAAGCCAGAATCTCTTACAACTGTCACATAAGCTTTTCCCCCTCTCCTGCACTCCAGATTGTCTCCAACTATTGGGTTTCAACAACTGTTATACTGTTCCTATCACTAGGCCATGCTCCAGAGCTCCCTGTCTCTCACCATTTGAAATAACTGCTTCTTCTGCTAAACAAGCAACATTTTATCTGTTACTTTAAGGGGTTCATTCTATACCTTGGAACTCGTCATTTTCTACATCCATGTCTTGTCTCACTCTAAGATCCCAGCTGGCAGGGTCAGTGTGTCATTCATGTGTGTGTCCCTGAAGTACCTACCTTGAATGTTGCTTTTATAAGCTGAATTCTGTCCTCTTCTCTACCCCACCCCAAATTCATATCTTCGAGTCCTAACCCCTAGTACCTCAGACTTTGACTGTATTTGGAGATATAACTAAGTTAAAATGAGGTTCTTAGGCTAAGTTCTAATCCAATGTGACTGGTGTCCTTAGAAGAGGAGGAGATTAGGACAAAGACACATGCAGAGGGAGGACAGAAAGAAGATGACCATCTGCAAAGCCAAGACAGAGGCCAGAAGAAACCACCTTGATCTTGGACTTCTAGCTTCCAGACTGTGAGACAATGTATTCCTGCTGTTTAAGCCTCTCAGTGTAGAAGTTTTGTTTGGCAGCACTAGCAAACAAATGCAGAAGTAAACAAAATTTTGTGGAACAAAGTGACTCCATCATGTAAGTCTTCTAAAGGGCCTTTAAATGGCTTTTTACTGCTGAAAGGCTACCTCTTCTTAGCTATCCCCTATGGTCTGGCTCCAGCCTACTGTTCCAAGCTTCTCTCCCAGAACACATAATACTATGCCAGCCTAATGGGTCTCTTTACAGACCTGAACTCAACCCCTGGTTGGCTCCCTCTAAAGCTCTGCTTGAAATGTTCACCTGTAATGTTCACTTCCTCTTCCAAATCCCCAAAACACTTCCTGTATTTGCTATTTGGCAACCACAATTTGTAATTTTTCTATTGTTATGAATTATTCATGATCTTTCATATGTATGAATTTTTTTTCTCTACAAATATGAGCTTCCTGGTAACAAAAACAATTCAGTTAGCCAAAAAGTCCATTTAGTTTTTTTCTGTAAATAAGACACATTTTTCATTTTCACCAATAACTTATATTGATTTGGATATTTTGATTATGTTGCTATCTCCGGCTATTCACTTCTAGTGGGCAAAGGTCAGGGTTGCTGCTAAACATCTTTCAATGCATAAGACATCCCCACAGCAAAGGATTACCTGGCCAAAATGTCAATAGTACCAAGAAACTTTACAAACCACTTTTGACAGATTCAGTCAGTCACAGCACCTTCTCCATACACTGCACAAATATTTTTTTGGCATTTCAGTTGCATTTTTACCTTCCTTGAAATAATAAAGCATAATATGCCAAAAATGTTGTATATTTTCTTCTGTCTTCAATATTAAAATGGCTGCACCAAAATTCACCAATTTTGATGTTTTATAAAAATGCACACTGATATGACAGCTGTCACACAGTCTAACAAAATTGTTTTGAATGAGGTTAAAAACAATTAAGTGCTACTAGAACCATCGTATGGAAAATACTAAATGAAGTTTTTGGCCAACCTAATACATGTTATGCTTTGCGCTGCCCTTCACAGGAAGTAGCACACTGTCTGACTCAATGAACACATGCTGGCCAAAGAAGGCACTGTTCAAGGAAAGGTAAATTGCTGCATCCCGAGGAAACATAGTGCCCTCTTTTGGGTAATATCATCTTTGAGTGACATGAATGACTTATAAGGTACTTTAAAAAAGGAATGACACAGATGCAGCATAACCCACAGAAATAATAAGAGCTCCTAGACTGATACTAAGTAGAAGAAAAGCTCCTTGATTATCTTGAAACATGAATTCTGATTGAGTCCTTCATTTTATTGTCATTGTAAAACTCTTATACTTAGAGCACTTAAAAAGTTTAATATCAGAAACACTTTGAATTACCTAATAGTTTCCAGTATTTGGTTTTGTATTCTAGGGCAAAAAAGTGCCTGAAATAATTTAGCAGAAAACATTCCTGCCATGTGTTCTTATAATAAACATACTTCCTAGTTACACTTTAATAATATTTTTGTTTCTGTTAAAAATAGTAGGATGCTTTATTACATAGTGCATCCTTTGTGTTCCCAAAACCAAGAGATTCCAATTTCAATTTAACACCTGGCTACCTTGCTAAAATAAATGGTGCACTTTGTGCCGTTTTTAATTTCTCTTAGTCTGTATGGCCAGGAGGCCATGTGCCTTTCTGGCATCTCTCCAGGAGTGGTGACAGATCTTCGGTCCCAGAGCCCCTTCCCTATCCATCCAATTAAGGGTACCACTGATGACTTACCTTTGCTAAGTGAGTCTGAATCTTATTTTTAGCATCTGCAGTCTCAGCAATCCGATTAGTGAAAGCCATGTTTACTTTGTTGAACTGATTCCACATCTCACTGGCAGTCACAACCAAGAGGTTTTGAATGTCATTTCTTAGTTTGGCTGAGGCTGCTCGTTCACTCTGAGATCGAAGAATATTGTCATCTGTAAATTTGGCCCAGGACTCAGGCACTGAGACCCTGGAAAAAGGAAACAGAACCAGACAATGGTGACAATGATGAACTGGCCTAACTCGTCTGTAAGCAATCATTCATCCTGTTCAAGAGAAACGAATCACTGATCTTGGTTTTCTTGCACACAGCATAAGCATCAGAGAAAAGCTTATTTAAAATTTTCTTCATTGCTCCTTATTTCACTGTTAATCAATTTTCTGTAAACCCAAAGCATAAACTAACTCCTCTGCCAACTTGAGGGGGAGGAAGATTGATGAAGGGTAAGAGTGTGAAAGTTCATACAAATGTGTCACACCAACTTAATAAGCCTATAAAAATACTCCATTGTAGGAATAACCAAAGAAGTAATGAAAACAACACACTAATAACCATTTTATTATAAAAGCAAAGAATAAAGAGAATAATGATTTGCTGGTGGGCATGTCTAGAGAAAGATTCTCTCATATTCTGCACATAGGAATGCTGAATTGGTCTGACCATGTTGGAGGATAAAAGGTCAACAAACACCAAGATCCTTTCAAATGTGTGTAATCCAGAAATGCCACTTCTAGAAATATTTTTATTGGGTATTACTGACACCTAACATTGTATTGGTTTTAAGTATACAACATATTGATTTGATATACAACATAGGACCTAAAACAAACCCCAGGATTATCTTCTGGAGGGCAGGCCTCTAGTACTACAGGCTTTCCCTGCTAGCTGAGTCTTCTAGGAAACCATTTGTATCAGTGTACCAGCTGACGTCATTGTGAGAGGCTGCATTTGGTTTCAGTAATGTTTTTGAAGACTCTTTCAAGATGTTTGTCCATTTCTTTTTTCTTTTTTTAAATTCTTACTTACTTATTTATTTAATATATTCTATTGATTATGCTAATACAGTTGTCTCATTTTTTCCCCCTTTATTCTCTTCTGTCCTGTATGCCCCTTCCAACTCACATTCCCCCTGCCCTTTAGTTCATTTTCATGGGTTGTACACATAACTTCTTTGGCTTCTACATTTCCTATACTATTCTAACCTCCCCCTGCCTATTTTCTACCTACCATTTAGGAAGTAAAAAACCTGTACCTTTTCCCCTCTTCTCCCCTTCCAGCTCCCCTGCTAATAACCCTCATGTGATCTCCATTTCTCTGATTCTATTCCTGTTCTAGTGTTTGCTCAGTTTGTTTTTGTTTTCTTTTTTAGGTCTGGTTGTTGATAGTTGTCAGTTTATTGCCATTTTACTTTTCATATTTTTATCTTCTTTTTGTTAGATAACTACCTTTAACATTTCACACAATAAGGGCTTGGGAATGATGAACTCCTCTAACTTGGCCTTACCTGAGAAGCACTTTACCTGCCCTTCTATTCTAAATGAAAGCTTTGCTGGATATAGTAATCTTGGATGTAGATCCTTGCCTTTAATAACTTTAATACTTCTTTCCAGTCCCTTCTTGCCTGAGAGGTTCTTTTGAGAAATCAGTTGATAGTCTAATGGGAACTTCTTTGAGGTAACTATCTCCTTTTCTCTTGCTGCTTTTAAGATTCTCTCCTTATCTTTAATCTTGGGCAATGTAATTATTATGTGCCTTGGTGTGTTCCTCCTTGGGTCCAACTTCATTGGGACTCTCTGAGCTTCCTGGACTTCCTGGAATTCTATTTCCTTTGCCAGATTGGGGAAGTTCTCCTTCATTATTTTTTCAAATAAGTTTTCAATTCCCTGCTGTTCTTCTTCTCCTTCTGGCACCCTATGATTCAGATGTTGGAAATTTATAATTGTCCTGGAGGTTCTAAGCCTCTCCTCATATTTTTTAATTCTTTTTTTTTTTCATTCTGTTCTGGCTGAATGTTTCTTTCTCCCTTCTGCTCCAAACCATTGATTTGAGTCCTGGTTTCCTTCCCATCACCATTGGTTCCCTGTTTATTTTCCTTTATTTCACTTTTCATAGCTTTCATTTTTAATTCTGTTTTGCAACCACACTCAACCAAATTCTATGAGCAACCTGATTAGCAGTGTTTTGAACTGTGCATCTGAGAGGTTGGCTATCTCTTCATTGCTTAGTTGTATTTTTTTTCTGTGGCTTTGATGTGTGGCTTTGCCCCATTTGGGCCTTCTTTTGTTTTTGAGTGCCTGTTACATAGTAAGGGGAAAAGTCTTAGGTATTCACCAGGACAAGGCAATCCACATTGCTACATTGTGGTGCTGTATGTGGGGGAAGAGGTCAGAGAGGGAACAATGCCACTTGTTCAGCTCTCTGCCAGCTTTCTGTCACTCCTGCCACCACCTACAAGTAAATTCGGCCCTTCTGGTGCTGATTCCCAGGTGAGTGAGTTTGTGCACATTTTAGGACCCTGTGTGTCTCTCCAATGAACTCTCTCATGAGACTGGAAGTTTCTCCCACCACCTCAACCCTTACAGGTTTTTTCAGTCAGAGGTTTTGAGGCTTTATTTCCCTGTGCTTGAACCCTGAGTTGCACCATCTGTCTCACTCCCCAGTTGTTCTACCCATAAATGTGGAACCACCTGCTCTGCCAGCCACCACCTTGTCATGAATCCTCTCCACCCAGCTGCCCATATCTGCCCCTCCTACTGGTCTGGATGAATGTTTCTTCTTTAATTCCTTGGTTGTTGGACTTCCATACAGTTCGATTTTCTGTCAGTGCTGGTTGTTTTTTGTTTTTAAATTTGTTGTTTTCCTTCTTTTGGTTGTGCAACAAGGCACAGTATGTCTACCTATACCTCCATCTTGGCCAGAACTCTGTTCATTTCTTGATGGGTGATTTATGAGAGCACATGCCCATACCGTGCTTAGTGATCAACAGTTTTTGACCAAAAGTGGTGTGACCCCCATGCTTCACTCTCCTTATTCACCTGATCTTACCCTGAGCTACTTCTTTTTGATCTTTTCCTTTATGAAAAAAGTCCTCAAAGGGAAACATTTTGCCAATATGGAAGAAGTGAAATAAAAAATGGCAGAAGCACTAACAGATATCAAAATCCATGAGTTCAAAACCTGTTCTGAGCAGTGGGAAAAACATCTTGATAGGCGTATCACCTTAAATGGAGAATACTTTGAAGGTGACTAAAGTTTAAACATGTAAGAATGAATACACAATACTTTATAAATAAATTCTGGGTTTTGGGGGTTTCACCTTGTATGTGTATATTTCAAAGTGATTACCACAATAAGTATAGTTACCATCCATCACCATACATAATTACAAATTTTTTCCTTGTGATGAGAGTTTTAAGATCTATACTATTAGCAACTTTCAGATATACAATAAAGTATCAACTATAGTCACTCTATTGTGCATGATGTCCTCAGCACTAAAAATACCACAGGAACACTTCACAAGTTTCTGCATCATCTTAGAACAGGGGCCATGTTGTCTGCCATTCCAATGTTAATGTGTGTGCTAATAAAACAAACACTAAAGAGATTTACCCTAATGAAATGAGGATCCCAAAGATGTATATGTAAGGATAGTCATTCTCAGCAATATTTATGCCAATCCCTGAAACACTGGAAACAGCCTAAATGTCCAAAAGTAAAATTGAGTAAATCATGGTAAATTTCAAAAAGTAATCCATATAGCATGCAAACTGATGTTGCAGAAGAATATTTCCACAATATTTTGGATCTATCACAAAGTGAAAAATCAGACATACTATGCAAACACCATGCATGAAATAAGCCAGGCAGTGAAAGACAACAAATACCATATGATCTCACCTTTAACAGGAACTTAAACAACAAAACAAACAAGCAAGCAAAATATAACCAAAGACACTGAAATAGAGAACAGGCTGACAGGGACCAGAAGGGAGAGGGGAGGGAATTTCAGGGGAAAAGGGAAAGAAGGGTTTACATGAACAAGTGTAAAGGACACATGGACAAAAACTAAGGGGAGTGGAAATGGGAGGGAGGTGGGCAGCACTGGGGATGGTGAGCTGGGATGGGAATAAAAGACAGAAAACTGTACTGGAACAACAATTAAAATAAATAAATTTAAAAAAGAAATATCATTATTTAAAAACATAAATTGATATCCACATGTGTGGAAAGGTACTTGAAGGACTAATGGTTCATTGTTAACATTGGCATCTCTGAGTGGTAAGCTTATGGGTGGCATTACTTGCTGGTGCAATAGGATATTAAACAAGACTCTTACTGTTGGCTAGAGGTTTTAGCTCAGGCCCTGATGAGCCAAAATAACAACTACAGAGTCCATACACTGTCATTCTATAAGAGCTGGCTAAAATTCATGGTGGAAATAGAAGAGGCCCTTTTGTGGAGGGCTAAGTGGTCAGAGTGCATGGTTCCGTCCCAGTCTAACTTGTACCTGAAAGGAGCAGAGGAAGATGCTTCCTGCTCACCTCAAGCCTGGTGAGAGGTATTAATTGCATGAGGACCACTTATGATGTGTACTGTCTGAATCTGATTCACACCTGAAGAATCTAAAAATCAATGCTGGTCTATCTGCTGCTCCCACTGCAATAGAGCTAAGAGAGGGGGCTGCTTAAGGGGTGATCAGCTCCAGAGGAAAGAATCCATTTTAGGTTCATGTTACAAGGGGAAGGGAGCATGAGCCTGGGAAAGAGCACAAGGGAGATTTTGGGGAAGTAAAAATACTCTTTATCTTAACTGTGGTCACAGTTCCATAGGCGTAGAAATTTGTCAAGATTTATCAAAATGTACACTCTCACTGAATGTATTTATTATAGGTAAAATGCCTCTCAATCAAGTTGGTTATTTTAAAAAGGGAATGACTATAAAAGACCATGAACCCAAGATTTCATGGAAGTGCCTGGCAAAACCCCCTGACAGGGCAGGTATAACCATCAGTGGTAATAAAACCAGTAATTACACCAGTGAGTCCAGGACATCAGACACAGGCAACACTTTTCTTTATGCTTGTCTGTGTTTTCTAGGTTTTCTACATCAAGCAGCTGCTATTTCCATAGGTACAAATGTGAATGACAGGTATTCTTTTCCAAAAGAATGCAGGATGCAAATGTCAAGGCCTGACTGTGGAACATTCAAGCTTACTAAGACTAGTTCAAAGTGGGTGTGTCTGTTACCTTTCCATATCTACCCATGTCTTCTGTTTTAACCTGTAAGCTTCATATGAAAGAAGGTAGAACAAGTTAAATAACATCACAATCATACAAGAGATGTGTGCCTGACTTACGTTGCATCAACTCTCTCCACTCCGCAAAAGTAGCTGATGCCATCCGATGTGTTTCGCAGATGGTGGCATTTGTCATCAATCTGGTAAGCCCTCTGTTTATCACCCAGGTCCTTCTCCAACTCATGCTGGGCTGCTCTGTTCGCTCTGTAGCACAGAGGGAGGAAATGGAGCTCCAAATGTGGGCAACAAGTTCATAAGAGGGAGAGTAATTGCCCTTCTATGTGGGACCCACCCATTACTGCTCTTTGGTCTCTCTCCTTCACACAATGTCCAACTTTTCCACTGAAAGGAGCCTGCCCCAGCGATATACATACATGTGAGTGATGAGACCCCTGCCCATAATGCCCCTTCCACATAGTGGAGAGAAGAGGTGTAAGTAAACAGGACAGCAGCTCCTCTTCCTAAAACACCAATTATTCTAGATAGGACACTGGTTTAATGTAATCTGTCCACATCTGTGCCTCCCTTTCCATCTTTCTTTCCAACTTCTACATTCTAACCCATTTGTCCTCCATTCTTGGACAAGAAGTTATGAGGCATGTATAGCCCATTCTCTCTCTGTCTATAGGTGGCCTCAGTTTGTGGTCATGCAAGGCCTGAGAAGTTGTCTAGGAGATAGAAACCAAGGGTCAAGATTAGCATCTAGAGCAAGAATCTGAGTGCTTGAAAAAATAAGGAATGGATGGGCACCAGGCCTCCCCTCCTGAGCTCTGAGATGCATGAGGTTTCCTGCCCTGCCAAGCAGGAAGGAGGCCTGGCAGCTCCCTACCAAAGAGACAGGCCTGGGACATGGGCATTGGGGACAGGTGAGCCATATCTTCACTCACGGAGGAGTTAATTCTACAAATAATAATTGGGTGCCTACTACATAGCAGACAATTCTAGAAGCCTGGAATGTGACAAAACGAACATCTCTTTCCTGAAGGAGTGTGCATCTTACTGGGAGAACACAGGCAATGCTCATAAAGAATAAGCAAATTATGTGGTTTGTTAGCAGGATACTGCAAAAAACAAAGCAGGAAAAGGGGACCAGGAGTGTGAGTGATGATTTCAAATAGGACAGTTGAATGGGACTCCTTGGAGAGGCCATGTTGGAGCAAAGGCTTGGTGGGGGAGAACGCAATCATGCAGAGCCTTGATGGACATTGAGAGACATCAGGTTTTCCTTCTGGTGAAGTGAGAGCTGACTGACTCACAAGTCAGAGCATCATTCTGGTGCTGGGTTGAAAACAGACCACAGGGGGCAGGAAGGCCCATGAGCAGACAGTTGCAGTTATGCAGGTGAGAGATGGCGGGGGCTTATACCAAGAGGTGGCAGTGAAGGAGGTGAGAAGTGCTCACATCCTGGATATGTTTTAAAGATGGACCCAAGAGAATCTCCTGGCAGACTGGGCATTGGTGAGAAAGGAAAAAAGAGCTGAAGGTCAGTAATTGGAATAGCAGAATTCTCTCAACCCAGGTGGGCTAGGCTGTGGGTGAGTTGACTGGGGGACAGGACAGAAGTTCAGCTGACATACTGAGCTTAAGTGTCCATAAAATATCCAAGTGGAGGTACCAAGCAGGTTGCTGGAATTTGGGAGAAAGTTCTAGGCTAGTAATAAAATTTTGGGAGTCATTAGCACATAGATAGTATTTGCAAAAGCAGACATCTGGATGATTTTAATCATTTCTGTATTCCCAGAATGCAAAAATTGTCTTAGCATGGAGGAGCCACTCAATAAAGGCTGCACTGAACTGAATAGACTAATTCTAGCTGCAGCTTCTCTTTAACTGAGCCTGTGTCCTTGATTAAGTCACTAACCTGGCAGATCTCTCTAATATTATTATTTGTAAAGTGGAAATGAGCATAGCAGCATACAGGTCATCTGCATTTTGTGAATTCTAAAACAGTATACATGTGCTAAAGATGAAAGGTAACAATGCTTCTTCCCCTTGCTATGCCTCCGTTCTGCCTCTTACTTTAAGGTATTAGTTGAGACTCAAGAATTAGGCTTTTCTCATTTGTTGTCTGGAACCAGGATGCCCCATAGGTTTCCTTTCCTGGTCCCTCTGACCCATCCTCAGAATCTCCTAAGGAAGTCCTGGAGGTGGCAGCACCCCACCAACCTACTTTATAGCCCAAGAAGGGAACATCTTGGCTGCCATGTTGATGCTTAAGGAGATTCCATTTTCAGCTAAGATCCAAACTAAGTGCTTCACTGCTTTTCTAAGACAAGTGGAGTTGAAAAACCCTCCTGCCATGACCTTGGCTGGACCAAGCCCAGTCACCATATTAGGGATTCAGGCCCCCACACATCCTGAAGAAACCACCCCCAAAAATGAGGTGGGCATTTTGTCCATGGTGTACTAAAGGGAAGTCAAGCTCTTTAAAGGCTCACCACCAGAGAGTCCAAACAAGAGCACATGCAGGAACAGGACTGTCTGCAAAGGCCTGTACTAGGGCCAACCCTGAGACCATGTGTAATAGGAACTGAGAGGAAAATGTGGCTGTTCTAGGGCCAAGCATTCTGGGCCAAGAAGAGCAAAGGACACAGAGATGGGCAGCAGGTCTTAGATTATGAAAGAAGGTGGGGGTCAGGAACTGGGCCAGAAGAAAACAAAACAGAAACAAGTCTTTGAATCACACTAAACTGTGTTTCTGAAATTCCTAGGGAGCAGAAACCAGAAATTAATATTGCAACGATACTGCCCTGTATTTATAGCTTAAGTAAATTGCAGTTAAACATACCATGAGCAGTGAGCCATCCTTACTTAATCATTTACCTGTTGTCAACAATTTCTTAATTAAAGAGTCTTTCAGATCAGAGTTCAAGAGCTATCTCAGGCATCTGAACCTCACCCACCAATATAGCATCAATCTTGATAGGCAAGGCAGGCAAACTAAAGAAGAAGTTCCAACACCTTTAAAATGCTTATTACTTTGGGTATATTACACATACTCCTTGATTACATTAGTATAAGCAAAATCATTGTTTCCTTTGTTTGACGTCAACATGACTTCTTCCCATGGCTATAACTGAATGAACACTGATCTTCTATTCATGTTAGGCAGCAGACCCAGCCATATCTCTCCTAGTTGACAGCCATTATCACTTACTACTCAAGACCTCACTTTGATTATTCCCCAGCTCCAGTCCCTTGGATCTACCAGTGTTGAGAAAGGGGACTGTGTATTCTTTTAGAGAATAAGGTGGGTAAGCAATGATGATGCAATAGATACAATGAATGTTGAGATGGTGTGACCAGAGCAGGAATGTGCATGGACCAGGATGCACTGGGAAATCAAGGAAGGCTGAGTCCTTAAGGAGGTATGGAAAACAAACATAAAAGTGAAGCCCAATTTCTTACTCTTCTAACTCTTGGGCTAGACATACACAAGTCAATCTCTTATTGAAGAAATAAGTTTTTGGAGTTAAAAGAAATCTTAGCTATCCTCTAAGTTAGGGCAGAAATCCTTCCCATGGCATCTCAGATTATGCTTTTGAGTAAAAATTTAAAGCAAGCACTCTGAGTACTCATCTTACCTCCAAATTAAAATGTGTGTACATGTATGTGTGTATTCATGTATCCATGTATAAGACATTCTTATATAAGAAGCTGAGAGAAATCTAAGTGGGAGGCAGGCATGCAAGCAGAGTTTTGTGGTAGACTTTATGTTGTATGGAGAGGTAAAGTGCTTACTCAAGCTGGGCGATGGCCTTATCCAAATGTAGCTTCATCCTTTGTTGACAACACAGAATAATATCAACTTCCTACTTGATTGAAAAAAAACACATTAATGTTTTCATTATCAAGTATGGCATTCAAAGTAAACAAGGTAACAAAACATCAATGAAGGAAAACCTTCTGGGAAAACTGTGAAGGAAAAAAATAAACAACTTTACATCCATTTTTCTACATCTATGCCCCCAAAATACTGTAATCTGAATGGTAGATTGTGATTCACTCTTTATAGGACTATAGGGAAATTATATTGTGGAACAAGTTGGGGTTGGGGTTAAATTTTAGTGTTTTTAAAACATTTTTATGTCAGGTTCTAAACAAACAAACAAAATTCTGGTGATGTGCAAGGTTGAATATTAAGTATTCTTTCATGACAAAGTATCAGGGAGGGAAAGAGGGCAGCCAAATAGGGGCTCCTCTCTGGCAGTGCATGTAACCTCCAACACACCCAGCTCTTTGGTCCAAACAAAGGCTGTTTTCCCCTTGTCCTCTGCCCTGCCTGAGCCCCACAGCCCAGCTCCTAGACTTGTACAAGTACCTTCACTTGCCTTGCTGCTCCATTTGGCCACATATGGTGTGTTGATGCTGCTATGATGGATACACTACATATAACATGGGTTGTACCAGAGTTTTTTAAATAAACATTTACTTTCCTCTGAAATTCATGTTCCCATTAGAAGATCTAGGAATTCAAAATAGTACCAAGAAGACATTTAAAAAGTGCACAAAATTGTTACCACTTTTTCAAATGGAAAGTGATCACACTGTACAGTTATGTGATTTGCTTTTTAATTTTAAACTTGAACTCATTTTCCCATGACACTAAACAATGCTGTGATGAACAACTTCAATAAATGTTTAGACATCGTCAAAGGGTCTGCCTTTTTTCAAGGTTCTGACAACTGCAGCCAAACTACCCTTCAGACAAGTTGTGCCCATTTACAAGTGAGTGTGCATTTCCTTGCCTTGCACACCAAGTAGCCATTGTGACTCCTCTCAATCTCTGCCAATGTGATAGGACCCCCAAAAGCACACTTGCTAGAATTCATGGATTAATATATAAGTATTTGTTCATTTGACTTTCTCCTTTTGTGAACTACCTGTTCATATGTTGTCCACTTTTTCTGCTGTTTTTTAAATTAACTTATATGTTCTTATATTTAATGGTCAATCCTTTCCCATCCCATTACATGTGTCATATATGATATATACACTTTTTTTTTACTTTTTACAGTTTGATCCTTGCCTTTATATATCCTGCACAGTGCGTTTGATATGTAGACATTTATGATTTCTATGAAGTTAAACTATCAAATAATTAAATAGCCCCTTTTGTTTGTTTGGGGTTTTTTTGTTTTTGTTTTTTTTGATAATGACATTCTTTTTCCTGCTTTCTAGTTTGGATGGTTTTGTTCCTATTTATTGCATACATACATTGTCCAGGAACTCTAGGATAGTGATGATTAGAAGGGTGGTAAAGAGACCGTATCCAGTTCATGATCTTTTTTTTTAATTTAAATATATTTGATTGATTATGCAATCACAGTTGTTTTATTTCCCCCCTTCATTCCTCTCCACCCTGCATACCCCTCCCCACCATTCCCCCCTTTAGTTTATGACGTGTCTCAAGTTCTTTAGATTCTATATTTTCCCTACTATTCTTGCCTTCCCTCCTATCTATTTCCCACCTACCATCTATGCTACTTATTTTCTGTGGCTTCTCCCCCTCCCACCTTCTCCTACTCCCCTGTTGCTAACCCTCCATGTGATCTTCATTTCTGTGGTTCTACTCCTGATCTAGCTGTCCTCTTAGTTTGCTTTTTTTTTTAAGTGTGGTTGTTAATAACTGTGAGTTTGCTGTCCTTTCACTGTTCGTCTTTTTATCTTCTTTTTCTTAGATAAGTCCCTTTAACATTTCATATATTAAGGGCTTGGTGATGATAAACTCCGTGAGGACTTCCGCCAAGATGGAGGCATAGGTGGAAGCACTTTGCCTTCTCACACAACCAAGTTTGAAAACAACAAAGTTTTAGCAACAAAAACACAGCCAAACCACAGAAAACTGAACTACATGGAAGTCTGACAACAACGAACCCTTCAGCCAAACCGGTAAGAGGGGCAGAGCCAGCAGCAGAGCAGGGTCAGGCAAGAAAGATCCTCCGGACTGACCTGGGTACGCGACCCAGGTGCATCAGCAGCCGTGGGCGGATCCCAGTTGTGGAGATGCGGGCGCACCCACTGAGGGCGCAAGTCATTGGACCCACTGAGGGTGGACTACGGTCACACATTCGCACACAGATAAACCGGTGAAGGAGCTAGCAGTGGTGAGATGGACCACGCAGGCCCCAGAGGCAGGAAGCGGCAGAGGGAACCTCCATTGCTCCCTCTCTGACCCCGCCCCCATATACAGCATCACAAACCAGCCACCTGGGTGGCCCTGCCCTGGTGAACAACTAAGGCTCCACTCCTCATACATAACAGGCACAAACAGATCAAGACATGGCTCAAAAACAACCCAGAGCCCCAGAGCCAATAAATCTAAGCAATGAAGAAATAGCCAAACTTTCAGATCCACAGGTCAAAACACTGGTGATCAGGATGCTCACAGAACTGGTTGATTTTAGTCACAAATTAGAGGAACATATGAAGGCTAAACTAATTGAAATGAAGGGAAATACACAGGAAACCAATAGTAATGGAAAGGAAACTGGGACTCAAATCAAAGGAGTGGACCAGAAGGAGGAAAAAAATGACCAAACAGAAAAATATGAAGAAACAAGAATTCGAAAAAATGAGGAGAGGCTTAGGAACCTTCAGGACATCTTTAAACATTCCAACATCTGAATTATAGAGGTACCAGAAGGGGAAGAGGAACAGCCATGGATGAAAAACTTATTTGAACAAATAATAAAGGAGAACTTCCCCAATCTGGCAAAAGCAATAGACTTCCAGGAAATCCAGGAAGCTCAGAGAGTCCAAAAGAAGTTGGACCCAAGAAGGAACACACCAAGGCACATCATCATTACATTAGCCAATATTAAAATGAAGGAAAGAATCCTAGAAGCAGCAAGAGATGAGGGGACAGTCACCTACAAAGGAGTTCCCATCAGACTGTCAGCTGATTTCTCAAAAGAGACCTTACAGGCAAGAAGGTGCTGGAAAGAAGTATTCCAAGTCATGAAATCCAAAGACCTACAACCAAGATTACTCTATCCAGCAAAGCTTTCATTTAGAATGGAAGGACAGATAAAGTGCTTCTCAAATAAGGTCAAATTCAAGGAGTTCACCATCACCAAGCCCTTATTATATGAAATGTTAAAGGGATGTATCTAAGAAAAAGAAGATAAAAAAATGAACAGTGAAAGGACAGCAAACTCACAGTTATTAACAACCACACCTAAAACAAAAGCAAACTGAGTACAGCTAGATCAGGAGCAGAATAATAGAAATGAAGATCACCTGGAGGGTTAGCAACAGGGGAGTTGGAGAAGGAGAAGGGGGGAGAAGGTGCAGAGAATAAGTAGCATAGACGGTAGGTAGAAAATAGATAGGGGGGAGGACAAGAATAGTATGGGAAATATAGAATCTAAAGAACTTGAGACACGTGGTCATAAACTAAAGGGGGGATGGTGGGGGAGGGGGTATGCAGGTTGGAGGGAAATGAAGGGGGGAATAGAACAACTGTAATGGCATAATTACTAAAATATATTTTAAAAAATCAAAAAAATAAACTCCGTGAATTTTATCTTATCTGAGAAGCACTTTATCTGCCCTTCCACTCTAAATGAAAGCTTTTCTGGATAGAGTAATCTTGGATGCAGATCTTTGGATTTCATGACTTGGAATACTTCTTTCCAGCACCTTCTTGCCTGTAAGGTCTCTTTTGAGAAATCAGCTGACAGTCTGATGGGAACTCCTTTGTAGGTGACTGTCCCCTCATCTCTTGCTGCTTCTAGGATTCTTTCCTTCATTTTAATATTGGCTAATGCAATGATGATGTGCCTTGGTGTGTTCCTTCTTGGGTCCAACTTCTTTGGGACTCTCTGAGCTTCCTGGATTTTCTGGAAGTCTATTGCTTTTGCCAGATTGGGGAAGTTCTCCTTTATTATTTGTTCAAATAAGTTTTTCATCCATGGCTGTTCCTCTTCCCCTTCTGGTACCTCTATAATTCGGATGTTGGAATGTTTAAAGATGTCCTGAAGGTTCCTAAGCCTCTCCTCATTTTTTCGAATTCTTGTTTCTTCATATTTTTCTGTTTGGTCATTTTTTTTCCTCCTTCTGGTCCACTCCTTTGATTTGAGTCCCAGTTTCCTTTCCATTACTATTGGTTTCCTGTGTATTTCCCTTCATTTCAATTAGTTTAGCCTTCATATGTTCCTCTAATTTGTGACTAAAATCAACCAGTTCTGTGAGCATCCTGATCACCAGTGTTTTGACCTGTGGATCTGAAAGTTTGGCTATTTCTTCATTGCTTAGATTTATTGGCTCTGGGGCTCTGAGTTGTTTTTGAGCCATGTTTTGATCTGTTTGTGCCTGTTATGTATGAGGAGTGGAGCCTTAGTTGTTCTCCAGGGCAGGGCCACCCAGGTGGCTGGTTTGTGATGCTGTATATGGGGGCGTGGTCAGAGGGGGACAATAGCGGTCCCCTCTGCTGCTTCCCACCGCTGGGGCCTCCTTGGTCCATCTCACTGCTCACTCTTTCACTGGTTTATCTGCACGAGAATGTGTGACCACGGTCATCACCTTGCACCCTCAGTGGGTTTCGCCCACTACTCCACACCTGGGATCCGCCCACGGCTGCTGGCACACCTGGGTGGAGTGCCGGGTTGGTCTGGTGGATCTTTCCTGGCCGACCCCACTCTGCTGCTGGCTCTGCCCCTCTTACCGGTTTGGCTGAAGGGTTCGTTGTTGTCAGACTTCCGTATAGTTCAATTTTATGTGGTTTGGCTGTGTTTTTGTTGCTAAAACTTTGTTGTTTTCAAACTTGGTTGTGGGAGAAGGTACAGTGCTTCCACCTATGCCTCCATCT